TGTTTTTTTGTTTATTTTTTTTGCAAAACTTTAATTTGATTTGTGTTTATCTGACTGTGTGTTAATCTGAGACTATTGGGGGTGAAATGCAGGTCCGCACGAGCCTAGCGTGTGGTGATATCAGGAGTACGCATCTGCTCTAATTGACACACATTTGTTCTGCGTGCTCTCATTCTTCTGGAGTCCATACTTCCTGTATTCTTGTCAAGAACGTATTTGGCGAGAACGCGAGTCTATTCTCACACTCTTGTGAATTGAGAAAAGGCGATTGAAAATGCGTCGTTTTCTACTTCTACATGTAGTGTGGTGTTTAAAGCTTGCGATCTGTGCCCCGCACTGCCCCCTGCAGTCTACAAGAATATTCGGTACAATACGGAAAAGCAAGTCAATGGACAATGCTGCACTTTTTTAAATACATTTATAAAGTTGAGAGCTTTTACTAGTTTACTGACAGGGCTAAGGCTATTGCCAAATTTGCTAAGCATGAATGGCACATGTTTGACTTTGGTTATCTGGTCAAAGTGGAGTCTTGTATTTAGATTTAACCAGTTTAGCAACAATGCAACAAGACCTAAATTAAAACACACTAAGAGGTTTAACCTATTTCCCATTTAGGGAGTCAATTTAAGTTAATGTGTTCTTAAAAAATGCGAAATAACATTCTGCCATGGACAATACTCCAAGTGTTTGGTCATATCAGGTAATTGAACCAACAAATGATCTGTTCTTATTATCTAAACAGGATTTATTCAAATAAAGTAAACAGTTACTTAGCATTGCGTTTATAAAACTAATATCCTAAATTGCGATTTAAGTCATTTTAATGGGTAATAATTAGCAGGACATTTCATCAGGATATTGAACTTTAGCATTAAACTGTTGCTAAACTAGTTAGCCAGCCGTAGCATTCGCTGTTTGAAATTTAACTAAACCAGCATCTTCAGTTAAGCTCTCATCTGGATATTTAGGATGTATTAGTTACCAGCGGGCTAAGATCAAAGTAAACAAAATGAATGAACAATATTATAGTGTATGTTGCTGACACTGGAAAGCTAATCTCCAAGGTCTCTGTTTCATTTCATTGTTCTGCTGGACAGGTTAATGAAACAGCTTCTGAAAATGACAAAATTACATTTGGTAACTTAACAGAAAAAGAAGAAATAACTTGAATCTTTCAATATAAATATGTCAATTAGATGGTTGTATTTCTCTCTTAAACTAGAGTGTGACATTTTCCCTTTGATTTTTTAACCACCTTAGCAGCTTTTCTTTCCATTTTGCTGCTTTTCCCACACAATTACGTTCCCTTGCTCTCAGTGCTCCTTTGTTGTTGCCCCCCCCCCTCCCATATCAGGTTTTGCAGTGATTCAGCACAACGCAGGCTGAGCGTGGGTTTGCAGATCCACCGTCTGTCTGCCCATCAGCCAGCTTTCCATCAGCTCCTGCAGTGCAGGGCTGTTGCTAAACACTGACCCGAACCCATACACAGAGGAGTACATCTTAAAACTAAGGGCACTTCATGACATTTAGAAATGGTGCAAAAGAGCACTTGCACATACCGCAATGAATGTTTTACATTAAAAGTGGACTCAATCAGTCCTTCAGAGCTTAAAACATGGAATATTTAGTTACATCTTTGAGGGTTGATGGGTTCATTCTCAAGTTCCAAATGTTGAATAACAAATCTGAGTCCAAAAAAATGAACACTCAACAGAAAGAGAAGGAAGAATGACGGATCAGTCAGCACAGGTTGGATTAAAGCAGCGTGAAGATTAGCAAGTGAAGACTTGATTGGACACCCACTGGCTGATGATCTGCCTCAGCAGTTTCCAGAAACAGGAATCATGAAAGCAAAGGGATGAATGACATCATCACAATGTTCACTGTCATTGTGGGAGGAACCTCAGTAGGTCACAGGGGTCAAATATTGAAGGAGGCCACGGCTTTCTTTCATCACTCTGCTGGCTTAGTAGCTTAGCGATAACGTCAGAGGTTACCATAATGAAACGGAGGCTGGTGCATGACACAGCAGTGGAAGTGGGCCAACCGGGGCTTAGGTTACAATTCGTGGCTAATGCTGATGTGCGAGGCTGTAAACCAAACACTGTCAGATTTTAAACAGAAGGCCACATCCACTCCGTCTGTGGTCAGCACAAGTCGCTGCGGCTGCTTGAATAGAGGGTGTGGACAATAATGAAAAGAGGGCCGAATGCTGAGGTCTGTGTTCAACACTCCGAAATTTAGCAAGACGGATGAAAGACTCAACCTATGCAGAGGTTCTTATATGGGGGCGTGAGACCCAAAAATGGCTTGCGGCAGCCTCTGGTGGTTTGCCACATAACAGGGGTAATAGCATGTTTGCACAAGCCTGGGTGCCAGGGTGAGACTAAATGTCTAATTTAGGTCACTTGCTATAAAAGTTTTAAAGCCCAGGTCTGCGTAGACCCCAGACTGGCAGCCCAAGTTGCCATAAATGTGGCCTCTGTCGTCTCTTATGTCAACACATTCGATCTTAAACTGGCCTGTCGCCACTAATTGTGCTAAATAAGCGTTTAGCTCGTGCAGTGAAATCATCACCTTGTGTTATGATGTTTCGAGAAGGGTACACTCCTGACTGTGTTTAACTTTGCTTTTTAATTTGAGTCTTTCTTGAGAGGTGCAACTCCAGATGGCAGCACACTTAATTTTCACCCCAAAGTGGCCCAAAAAAAAAAAAACACTTTGAAGCCATGGCCTGCAAATGACTGACATTATAACTCTGGGTAACTTTGCGATTGATAATGGGTCTTCTAATCTGTTAGTGTCTTTAATTTGTGAAGTCCCAAGACAAATTACCAACCATTTTGCCATAAAAAAAGATGTTTCCTTCACTGATAACGGTAATTATGTGTAAATTAAGCTTCAGCAAGACAGAACCAAAGCTTTTGGTGTAGCTAATTTTTATATTTTCAGGAAATTACAGTAGCGTAACATTTTAAGCCACGTTTGTTTTAGTGTTTGGTTGCAAAATGTTTTAAAAGTGATGATGGATCACATTGTGAACCTAGCTTCCAAGCTGATAAATGACTCCCATTCTCTTTGTGTGTCTTTCTTTGCAAACGCAATAACCCCATGATGTGTCACAGAGCCAGTAGAAACCAAAGTGCCCCTATATGGAGATCACATCAACAGTCGGAAGTCGTACGCAGTGAACAGAGCCAAGGAACACAAGAGGTATAAATCGAAGCAAGGGTCTACCATCAACAGAGAACCATCCCAACCTAGCCAGGATAAAGTGGAGCTGGAATTTGTAAGTGTTGTGTTAGAATGCAAAATTTCTCCGATTGTTGCAAATTTGCTTTGCATGTTTTGGCTTATTCTGCAAATTTGTCCTTCGAGTTGAAGCAAATATTAGCAGCTAAGAATGGAAAGAATCAATGTTACCAAACTGGTTCTGAGGCCACCTTAAATGAAATGAGAGAAAGTTTAGTTGTATAAGAATTTCTAATGATATTTGATTTTAACATCCAATCTTTGTGTGCACAGGGGCCTTGCAAAAGAAAACTTGATACTCTCATTCATGGCATGAAGGACTCTCGGGTCTTGACTCTTTCTTTGTATGTACCCAACTGTGACAAAAAGGGATTCTTTAAGCGCAAGCAGGTTCGTAGCATCCTTCAGTGTTCTATAATTCAGACGAGTACCCAAAAAGTTAGTTTTCTGGTCACCCATCCTGATCTGACCTCCTTCTGCCTTGCAGTGTAAGCCCTCTCGTGGACGGAAACGGGGTATTTGCTGGTGCGTGGACCGCCTCGGCCATAAAATCCCAGGTATCACCTCTCCCCGTGGTGAACTGCAGTGCAAAGACCTGGACAGCATCAACAATAGCAACGAGTGAAAGTGAAGAGCCTGCAGAGCCCATTTTCTTCTTCTTAAATCCTGCCAAACAAGCTAGCATACTTAATGACTGAAACTCAAGAGAACATGGCACAAACACTTTTTCTTGTTAATTGTGATGGACTGCTGTAAAGGAGAAGCAAACTTTATACCCTATATCAAAGAGAAATATATATATATACATAGTTTATCTTTGTGTTTATAGTCTGTTGATTTTTTTTTTTTTCAGTTATGAAAACAAGACAACACGTAATTCAACTGTGGCTAACTATCATTATTTTGCAGTTATTTTTTATGCTGTTCAAAAGTTATTATGGGCCCCAGAACTAGAAGACATTATATTTAGTCATTTCAGGTTTAGAGACCTTTACATGTGCCGTTAAGAGAGGTGGGGGAGGGGGCATAAATTATATTTTCCAACTAATACAAAACAAAACAAAAAAGAACATGCAAACAGAGATTATACAGATGGTACATCAGAAAAGATTTAAACCTCTTTTAGAGAAAAATTTTCAACATAATCTCAATATTCTTGATAAATTAAAACATTGTTATGATTTTATTCCTTTTTTTGTTTTACCTAATTCAAGACATAAACTAAAAAACAAATATACTCAGTGAAAAGCTCTATATTGTTTAGTTTAGGTCAAATTCACTTCATTTTGTATCGTAATAACATATACATGAACTCTGTAGAGCAGACACCATTAGCTTACAACAATTTCATCCTGTCAGACATTTCCGTTAAGCTAGTTACTGTGATTGTTGAAGATTTTGCCATTTTAATATGATAAGTTTTAAGGATAGTTGTACCTCTGTCTTATTTTTCCTTTCAAACTTTCAAAGCAGAATCTCAACTAGCAACCACTTTACTTAGCCTGGCATAAAAAAGCTAATAAAAACCAACTCTGCCTTACTCATTAACAAGCGGCCCTATGTGAATTAAATACTGTTTAATTAATACACCAAAATATTTATTTGACCTCCTGTAAATATTGTAATATTCCGTTTTACCCAAGGGACCAAGCTATGTTTAGCTAATCTTGACATTTAGCTAGAGCTTAATGTCATCAAGAGCACTAGCATCGGTTTTTCACTTAATGTTCATAATTTAATCTTAGAGGATTAAAACAAAGATTTATGTCGACCTTATTTAATAATAGTTTGAATTTGTGGGGGGGTGATACATACGTTTGATTTGATTTATATAAATAGCGCAGCACTTAGCGTTAGCTGCTAATGGAGCTAAATGGAAGTTTGGGAGTCTTTGCTTAAAGATTTTAAAAAGAAAATAAAAAAGTTTTTTGTTGCCAGTTTAAACACTGCAAAAACAAAAATCTATGCAAGGCATCAATGTTTTATTTTCCATTTTATTAAGAATGTAAGTGAGAAAACATACTATTTTATTTCAAGTGCATGATATCTTCAATTTAGAAATGCTCAATTCATCAGCAGATCATCTCTTATGTGCTCAAATGAAGTTAAAATGCACCTATTTTAATAAATCTCTATTTCTAGATTAGTGTTTGCAGTGAAGGCTTTGGTATGTTAAAATTTATCAAAAATTGAATACGTTCAAATTCCAATATAGTTTTCACAGATACCAGGAGGGATTCCAATACTAAGGCTACAGGCAGTCATCATCTGGATGTCTTTAATTAGTCTTTCTATAGACCTGATTTATAATTAACATATTTTCAAAGCAAGATTTTAGTAGAAGCAGCCTGCTCTTTATTAATGTATAGATAAACAAATGACTAAAACATATCATATAATCTAATTTTTCGGGGAAAAACACACTAAGCACAAAAAAACAGTAGCTTTGTTTAGTCCATTTGATGAATACATTGAATACACTGTTTTTATGTGCAATGTTCTGGGTATATTATTAATGTCCGATGTAAATATCAATCTTTTTGTTTGACCTATAACTAAAGAAAGGATTAGCAGTAAACCTGCAAAGAAATTAACATCATTATATTAGATGTTATTAAAAAAAGGGAATTGTATGGGTTAATGCACTTAATAAGAGAAACTAATGAATGCAAATAGACAGAATGGAGATTATTTGACAATATGTCTCAACAATATCATGAGGAGAAAGAGTGGATTTAATTTTATTATGTCGTAGGACTGCGTTAATGCTAAGTTAGTTAAAGGACGGATTATTACCCGAATGGTCACTACTTTCATCCCCAGGCTTGCTATCATGGACGGTTCTAGATTGGGCCAACAGGGGCCATTGCCCAGTATTAAAAGCATAATACTAAAATAAATTTATGAAAACTAAATGATGATATGCACTGGTACAGAAACTGTCATGGGGACCATTTTTATTTTGACAATGTTCTAAAATTGGGTGTGTTGCGCTTGGCTTTTGTTTAATTGAAATATAATTACAGTTTTCATCTGCTATATCGGGAAATTCAGAGCTAAAAAGGGCTCAATGGTTCACTCACTATTTCAAAAAATTAATACCCTTTTTTGTTCTTTCATTGTTTTGTTTTGAGCTCCCAAGAAAAAGGAAAAATAGCCCCAACAGTAAATTTTGTCTGCTAGTCATCATGTTATTTTTCTCGACAGTGTTGGCTTAAAACAGCATGTAGACTACTTCCTAACCTTCCCTTTCAGACAAGTTAGGCCTCGATTTTAGGCTTTGGATAATTTTTTGCCACCAACCATGTGTAGATCTTTTGGAGATAAGCGAAACGGACAAAACCTCAGTCATAAAAAGCTCTTTGTACTGTTAAACATAGAATTCCTTCCATTTCAAGTTCTCAGAACTGTGTTTGCTGTTTCTAAATGTATGTATTGAATGTTTGCATGCCCATCAGTGTGTTTGTGTGTCTTTCTCAACTAAAAAAAAAAATTTGACAAAAAAAAGGTTGCTCACACATTGTACATTTCCCATCGGAACTCGCACACAAATTGTATGCAAAGGCCCCGTCTTTCCATGTGGGGGTCTTTTAATGCCACTGCACATGCAAATCGGCTCGCCGACACAAACTTGCTCACAGGGTTCACCAGGTCCTTTATCCCATAGAGGGAAAGGTCACAGAGTTTTTACGTAAATGAAGTGCCTTCAGCCCCAGACTGCTTTGAATCTAGATTTGCATGCAGGCCATTTGTGTTGTTGAATGAGACAGGCCTGAGCAAAAGATAAAAAGGAAATCAGTTTAAGGTGTGGATGTGATTTGCTCTCAATTATGATCTTCTGGTCAAGTGCTGCTAAATATGTAATGACAGAAATAATGTGTTTTGTGTGTCCAGTTGTCATAACCCGTCTTGTTTTTACTGTTAAAACCTTAATGTTTAATATAGTTTTAACTTTGTAGACAATGCCTCCACTGACAATGGCACCAGCCTATTCTTCCTGATAAAATTTCTTCACCTTTGTAGACATTTCAAGCTCTTGTGAACCCGGAACAGTAACTTCAAGAACACCACAGAAACTAAAGTTTAATGTGAATTTTCTAATGGAATATTAATCACACCTGCAATTGATATACTGTTTTTTACAGGTTTAATTACTATTTAAATAAACATGTACACTCCCAAAAAAAAAGACTGTTAGCTCCTTTTGTTCTGAATATATATATATATATATATATATATATATGAGATCAGATTTTACCTTATGTTTCTAATAGAAAACTTCGCTCTTAATCAACAGGTTTACCAGTGGTTCCTACAATTTCTACAAGCAGAATGGGAGGCATATCATTTAGTTATCAGGATCCGCTCTTGTGGAACCAACTAGCAATTTTAGCCTGTGTGGCACACATCCTTTCTACTCTCAAGACCCAGCTTAAAACTTTCTTTTTGGATAAAGCTTATAGTTAGAGTGGTCCAGGTTATCCTGAGCTATCTCTATAGTATTGCTGCTATAGGCTTAGACTGCTTGAGGACATCGGGACCACTTTTCCTCACCCTATTTTATTCTATTTCTGTTCTCCCATTCGGCTATAGGCTTAGAATGCTATAGGCTTAGAATGCTTGAGGACATCAGGACCACTTTTCCTCACCCTATTTTATTCTATTTCTGTTCTCCCATTCGGCAGTATTTGTTAGTTCTACTTTTTGTTCTCTCTGCTTTTGACTACTCAGAAAGATGTTATAGATATCTGTAATTTAATTTCTGACTCATCAGAATGATGTAAAGATACCTTACATCAAAATGCAAGCTAGTCACACAACAATAGAATAATGATATTTATATCTAGAATGCTAATTGTAGATTGTTAAACCTACTGATTAAATTGTAATTAGCTTGCCATACTATCTATGATCATTGCTTTTCCTTGTTTTTTCTGTGATCAATTTTCCGATTTGGATTGTCCCTCTATCATGTAGCTAGCATCAATTTAAAATAATGATAGGAGGAATTTTTGACTGAATTTTGACTTTAAAAATTTGGTTTAGCTATTAGTTGTTTAAAGTTAGGGATAGTGCATAGTAGCAGCAGACTGGTGAGAAGAATCTGCAATGTATGAAGGTCACAAATTTTTTTTGTAACCACAGACATTTTATAACCTGAATAAGAAGGACATGTGAAGATATATAAAGAAAGGTTTTATATTAAAGGTAAGAACACCAGGTGAGCGCCATGAGGTGAGCGCTATGACACTGCAGGTCTCCAGGCTGCTGCTATACCTGTCTCCGCTTCTCCATCTTCAAATGTGATGCCCTTGCAGTTCACATTTGTTTGGCTGCAAAATATTCCCATGCATTATTTGAAAGAGAAATTATAAAACACACAGGAATCCAACTGGTTTCTACTTTATTTTGCATTTGCACGTTACTTTTCATCTCCTTAATACTTAATGTGCAATAAAAATGAGGCATATCCAAAAACCTAGTCTGCGATCTAGAGCATGGAAAGACATCTACAAAGGTTCAACACACTAAAAGGCTCTTTGTTTTTTTTAACAGTACAAAACACTGATAACAAAGCACGTTGAGCATTGTCACAGTTAATAAAGCATGATCACCATCTCTAAAACAGAACAGCATGAAAAAAAAATTGAGAAATTTACTTTAGTCTGCAAAAAAGTTGGTTTCTATCATTCAATGTTTTATTTTTATTTATTTTTTACTATGTTAAGATTTAAACTTTAACCGCCAATAAACAGACTACAGACACACATGTATAGCTTATAGCTTACTCAGATTGCTCTTTGATCCCAAGCACTTTACAGTTTCAGTTTCTTTGTTTTTTTTTCTTTTAGGTTTTCAGTTTTTGAGCCACATTAGATTTGGGGTGCATCGTGCAGCTCCAGCTCGTCCAGGTACTGGCTGCAGTTGGGGTCCCCCCTCACAGTTGGAGCTGATAGGATGCGTCGGCCAGTCAGGGGGTTGACGCACCAGCACTCGCCCCTCTGACCGTGGAGTGACATTTTGCACTGAAAAAGAAAAGTTCATTTAATTTGTTTTAGAGGCTCTAGAAAGACAAAATTTAAGCTTCAGTAAATAAAGTCTAAGAAGGAGTCATCACCTGTAAATCTGACCTTATTTTTGTTAAAGTGTTGGCATTGGAATTAAGTTCAAACCTGCATGAAAAATGCAAAGTGTAACAGTAGCTTGTGTTTTTTTTTTATTTAATCCAGAAAAGCAAACAAGTGCATTTTTTTTGTTGTTGTTGTTCATTTACATAAATCCTGGAAGGGTGCTAACATTATCCCACTTTGCTGTCACCACTACAATCTCTACTTCACCAAAAGCGGTGATTCCACCAATCAGGGACTCATCTGCACAGTTAGTAAGTGGTAGCCTGATAAACCAGACTAAATGTGAGATTAAATGCGTAATTTAGACTTGCCCCAATGAATGAGCTATCGGAAGATTGCTGATAAGAACAACCTGTTGTTTTTCAAACAATGTCTGTGCCTATTGGCCAACGCTCTGAACAATGAGCTCAACTGACTGTGACGTAGTAAGCGCGACAGAAAGCTAGTGGGGGAGTGTAAACAAACAGCCTGTCTGTAAAACGGCCAATATGTCCTTCTTATAAATGAATGAGTGTAGATCCTTTTTCCTGCTCACGTTTCAACAAAAACCCCAAGTCTAATCCTTCCAGAACTGATTCCAAAGCTGAGTCAAATGAGCTCGGCCGTTTCTCAGTTAACTAGAACGCGAGTACGGAGTTGCGTCCTCGCCAAGTATGTTCTTGAGAAGAACACAGGAAAGTATGGACTTGGTGAGAATGCCTTCCTCAAATTATCTTAAAACATACTTTTATTGAACAACAGAAGAAAGAATGTTTAACTTTGAAATGGAGCACTCCATTGAAAGCTGCTGCATGCCTCAGTTCATGCCATCTTCCTTGTTGCGCTTTCTCCAGCGTCACGCAGCTTTGTCGTCCATCCAAAAATACAAAACACATCTCTGCGTTGTGATTGGCCAGCCAGTTCTAGGGCCAGGGGCATTAATCGAGGCTAGACCAAACTCACAGGCAAAAATGATTTCGGTGGGTGCGGCTAGTTTACTAGGCTAAGTACTTTGTAAAATTCCGTAAAAGTTTAAAAACAATCCACTAGACTTGGTTTCCAAGGTTTAAAGATGTTTCGCTTCCCCTCCAGGAAGCTTTCTCAATTCAAATGTCTGGATCCGCAGTGAGTTTGAGGCTTTATATAGACAAGGCCTTGTATTGCTTGGAAACATGCAAATTGAAGCCGACGAGCCGGTCGTTTGGTTCCATTGTTAGCCTGTAATATCTGCATAGCTTACTCAGATATTACAGATATTACAGGCTAACAATGGAACCAAACGGCTTCAATTTGCATGCTTATGCTTAAGCTTAACTTAACCAATGTTTAACTATTTTAGGGAGCAGCATTAGCCTGAAGATGCTTTGCTAACATTACTAGCTGTAGCCAGGGAGAAAACAGTACTATTAAGGTGGCAAGATTTCCTGAAACTAGCCGATCACAGGCACTCTCTCAGGTTGGTACCCCTTTAAATTGACAAAAGTTGACATGAGTGCATAGAAACAGGTCCACACATGGGTAGGAAAGAGCTACAGGTGCATAAATAGCAAAAGAAAAGTATGAACTCGAGCTAGTGACATATTAGGGGGCTCAGAGTATTGAATCTCTGTGCATTAAACATAAAAAAATGTGTGTGGGGAGTAGTTTACATGCGTGTGTTTTAAATAAAACTGATCATATGAGCATTTATTGCCCGTGTACACTATTAACAGAATTCTTAATTGATGCTAAAGTTGCTAAAGCTACATTAAAATGACATAGGGGTCCAAATGAGCTCTATTTATTTTTCATTTCTCCCTCAAATGAAAAAAAAAAACACAAAAAATAATTGTGTATAATACCAGACTATGACTCCTGCAATAAACACACAAATCAATATACCAGTATCAAACTATCATTGAATGATAAAAACAAATGGATTATATTTAAACATACTTAAAGAAAACATTGTAAATATGTGAATACCTTCACATAATTGATTTGTATTACCAATTATATGAATATATTACACTTTGTGAAATTAATTTAACATTTCTTTGTTTTTATTTTCACATAAATCAGTAAAATATATAAGTTTTTGTTCAAGAAACACATTCACTGAGAAATTAACACCTGAATTTCCCCCCTTAATATAATGAAATTTCAAAAAATATCAAACGTCTACTGAAATAATTAAGGGTAAGCAGTGTATTTAGTTACAATGACTTGTATATTTAATCAGTTTTTTAATAATCTATTATTATTTACACTCGATCAAAGATCTGTTATATCATATTGTTACATTTGCAGCCTCTAAAGTGTAACATGACACATTAAAGTCACCTGTTTTGGGTTATACTGCCCCCTCTTGTCACAGTTGGGAATGTGCAGTGCATAGAGGTCCTCCAAAGGACCTCGGTTATCTCTGAAGGGCATCTTGGATATCCTCTCCAGGACCTGGTCCAGCTCCTGCTGACACTGAGTCTTGAGAATAAACAAGAACAGAACAAAACAACAGTTTCAGGTTCAAATACAGGTATGCGGGTGTGTTGCTGCCACCAGGTTTCTGCCTTTAGTTTACAAGAGGTAGTGGTTTGCCTGCAGGCTTAAATGTTCTGTGGAAAATGTTCAGTTGGCTCTAACCTCTGTAGGGTGTTCTGGATTACTTTTAACTAAACAAATACATAATTGTTTTAACAACATACAAAAACTAGTTAAAAGAAATACATTCACATTTGAAATAAAGCTTATTCCAGTACGCATCAACACCAGGCGGTCTTTGCCAAGCATTCTACCCACTCTAGACCTTAAAACACCATATAAAACACAAAGTATTGCTAAATATCTTCCCGTTATGTGCAAATTAATCTCAAAACTTGCCAAACATTGTATAAAAACAGGCCAAAGACCTCTGGTTTACCTCTTATTTGCCTGCCAACACTCTTTCGGAGACATTTAGTACGAGACAGGGGCTTTTGTGATGGATGTGAAAAACAACTTCTCTCGATGGAGGATTTAGAGAGCCGGTTAAACAGCAGGTCAGGTGTGTTTCTGGTTTATTTATAGCTGCAGTTTGATTCAAAGGAAGTAATTTGTGTGAAATGTTGACAGAAGAATTTAAGAAAACTAACACAGTTTAACCAATATGCACTAGTATTTGTTCAGTAGAAGGATTTAAAAAAAATTTTTTTTTATTTCTTTTGTTTTTTTGTTTTTATAGACAGTTGAGTGTTTTTAACCTTGTGCATAAAAAAGGTTGTAATAGCTGTCTCTTTCAGCCACTAGATGGCAATGCCCACTCCTTTAACTTCAAACCTAAACCTTCAACTTTCAACTCTAGATACATTTAGAGTATTTGTTGTATATCTGTACAGTTTTGGTCAGTTTTCTATGCTTAACCACCATTTTATCAGGGAACATATTTGAGGTATCCCTTCACAAACACATCAGTTAGACCAAGACCACCTTGGCAACCACAATGGTCAAGTCAAGGCAGTCACTGAGACCACACACAGTTTGCAAATGTGAGATTTATTGTTAAGTTTGAACACAGATCTTATGTTTTTGTTATCTAACTAGGCTTGGGACAAAATTAAAATGTGTGTGTGATCCAAATACTGCAATCTGGTCACATCTAAGCAGAGGTTAGTTAGCAACGACTGGGATAAGTGCTGTCTAAATGGTGGCAGTAAGGCAGGAGGTAGGAAAAGGAAACTGGATGCTTCCTATCATAGCTCCTTGAGCATAGCAAACCCCAAACGCTCTTATCTGACCCTCAGGAAATATGCAGATTGCAGAAATCCTTGAACATATGTAAAGGTTGGGTTTACCTTAGGGAGTTAAACTAAAGTACATTATCTCTTCAGGTGTACTAAGTGTGGCAAATGCTAACGTATAGGCCTTCATATGTTTTGCTTTGTGTAATGGAGAGCTTCGGCTAAATGTTTTTAAAGTGTTCAAACTTTTGTGATTAAATGGGAACTAATGTGAAGTTGACTTGCAAGGTTTTTATCAAAAGGTATGTTGTGTTTTTTTAGGTCAGGCAGCAAAGCACATGAGGTAAACCAACCTGTATCTTTATCTTTATATTTGAATTTTTGTCTTTTTAATGTTTTTTAACCTAAGAGACTAAAAGCAAAAAAAAAATAATAAAAGTGGAGATTGGAGGCATAATTTTGCTTATTGAAGATACAAAGATAAAGTGCCAGTATGTCAAGAAGCTTGTCCCAGAGTCCTCTTTTTCAGCAGACACTCACCTGTTTCGGACGAGTAGGTCTCACCTCTTCTACCTTGTTGGTCTTCATTTTGGTCTTCATCTCCTGCCTGTGCTGGCGTACGGCGCTCTCCTTGGGTCCGAGCCAGGTGGCGTCTTTGCTGGGCTTTCGGACTGTGGTGATTTCGCTCACGTCCAGATCGGGCTCCAGCTCCAAGGCTTCACCTTTTATCAAATACAGTTAAACATGAGCAAATATTAAATCCATGGTTTATGTTTTGCTTTTGTAAGTGTTTCTGAATGACAATTTTGAATATTTGCTGTATAAATAAACACATAATTCTAACTGATTTTAAGAACAGACAAAAAAATGCTATAGAAGAGCTGTACAAGCTCGTTTTTTAACATGAACACATGGAAACAATGTGGGATGAACAAATGCGACAAATTCAAGCTGTGTATAAATGTTATAAGGATAGTGAAAAATAGAGCAACATCCTTTAGGGAAGGAGCACCACGGCAGTTGTTAAAAAAATATACAATGACAGAAACATAGAATGAAATGTAATTCACAATTGCTGAGCTAAAGGGTTTTTGGGGGACCTGGGTCTTATTAGCGTGGCTAGCTTTTTGTTCCTGATGGACAGGAGCCTCCTGCCAGAAGGTAGAGTCTGAAACAGTTTATAACCAGGGTGCGAGGGATCAACTGCAATCTTTCCTGCTAGCCTCTGAGTCCTGGAAGAATACAGTTCCTGAAGAGGAGGAAGATCGCAGCCCATCACCCTCTCTATGGAGAGAAATATATGCTGCACTATGCCCTTATCCCTGCTGGAGGCAGTAGAATACCAGATGGCGATGGAGGAGTGGAGAACGTGCTCTTCACTTGCCACAGAAAGTACAAACTCTGCTGTGATTGAGGCCCCAAAGATGGTCCCAAAGAGTGCAGAGGTATGACTGATCAGTTTCACTAAGACTATAAGTTAAACAGATGAAAAGAAAGAAAAATGTGAAAGCTAACCTTCATTGTTTTGTCATCAAGGGTTAAAAGTTAAAAATTGACCATTTCCAACCCAAACATGATGTGAATCTTGAAACACGGCCGTAGGACAAAACTCCTCTAAAACTATGAAGAAAATTTGCTCACACACAAAGGATGCTATTAGGCAACAAAATGACAAACACACAAAAAAATCGCTTTTTCATGCACGTTGTCATGGAAACCAGAAAAATATTAGCTGACACCAACATGAATTTGAACTTTCTCCCCATCTCTCTCTCACGCCCACACGCGGAGTGTAGATAAGTGTACAAATTCTCTTTCACACAGCCATGAAACAGCTTTTGGTTGACTTTCATGTTGTTCTGACCAGAACAAGCTTAAGAATAAAAACTATCAACATGTTGTTAATGCTGGGGTTCAGCTTTATCGGGCCAATATGACGACGGGACATGGGGTGGGGGTAGGTGAGTGGAGTAAATACTGTTTTAGCATGTTGTCGGCTAACTGGCCTACTGTCAACCGAAGATTAATTAACTAATTCAATTCAACTCATTTTATTTCTATAGCGCCAATTCACAACACATGTCATCTCAAGGCACTTTACAGTTCAACCAGATCATACAGTCAAATTGATTCAGAGTTTTCTATCTAGGAAAAACCAGTTGATTGCATCAACTCATTGACTCAAATGCAATCCCTCACACTAAGCATGCTTGTAGCGACAGTGGAGAGGAAAAACTCTTACAAGAGTTAACTTAACAGGAAGAAACCTCCAGCAGAACCAGGCTCAGTGTGAGCGGCCATCGGCTGAGGCCGACTGAGGTTCAAGGACACAGAAGCAGATATACAAAAAGCAGCTGTAAAAGGCGGCCCCATCCAGGAAACACACAGCCAGGCAGACGAGCTCCGACCCAGTTCCCATATCAGAGGATGAAGAGAGCACATCCACTCAGTCACGGTCAGAGAAACAGGACTACACTGGAAAACAGGCCGATCTCCAGAATCTATAAACAAGGGTGTTGATGGAAGCAGCACAGCTGATNGAGGCCGACTGGGGTTCAAGGAGACAGAAGCAGAGATACAAAAAGCATCTGTAAAAGGCGGCCCCATCCAGGAAACACACAGCCAGGCAGACGAGCCCCGACCCAGCTCCCATGTCAGAGGATGAAGAGAGCACATCCACTCAGTCACGGTCAGAGAAACAGGACTACACTGGAAAACAGACCGATCTCCAGAATCTATAAAAAAGGGTGTAGATGGCAGCAGTAAAGCTGATATTTCTCTCCAGGATGGAGTCACACCCAAACAGGAACAGACGAGGCAAAGCTACGAGAAAAAGGAGAGAGAGCAGAACGTTAGAGATTGAACTAACAGATTCTACAGATTGGAAGAATTGAGACAGAATGAAGCAGAATGATGAAATGGGGATCGCTATGTCCTCCAGAAGTCTAAACCTATAGCAGCATAACTATAGAGATAGCTCAGGAACTACAAAGATAACTACAAAATAAACTTTAAAACTGCAACCCAAAACTGCCTTTTAAGGATGGGGAATAAAACAAATCTGAGATCCAGGTCTTTAAAGGAAACAATGGGAGCTGGAGGCTCTTTATGGAGTAAATCTTTTAAAAATACATAAAACAATAAATTAGGAAAAACATTCAGGAAGTTATGTTTTGTTATCATTTTGATATTTCGTTGTTTGGGGAGAGTCAGGCAAAGAAGGCAGCGCTTGGTGAATTTACTTAACAGTGTTAGCTTTAGGGAAACCGCATGAGTTTTAAAGCTCTGATATGTTAGGATTGTAGATGACCATATTGCAAACATAACTCAGTTATTTTTACTAAATTCCTTTAGAATTCCTCTAGAAACATCTAGATAAGCCTTCATTTACTGAATTATTATCCTGATGTTTCCTTTTCCCTTTTTAGTGCTAAGGGTTCATCAAGTCCAACTCACTTTGTTGTTTCTGACAACACAGCAGACTTTGGCATTCACAGAAAAGGAGAGGAAGAGGTGTGTCTCTTCAACCTAGCGGATTTTAGATAAAGAAAAAAAAACTGGATGACACAAATTTAACACATAGCCTGTTTTAGCTCACTCTAGCTGCAAGCTGCAAATGAATGTGCTAGAACACCACCGTTGTTTTCTGCAGAATCTTTGCCATTTTTCGCTTATGCAGGGTTTCACCAGACACCTAAATGAAAGTCAGTAAGAAAACCGGCCCAGTTAAAAAGGTCAAACATGAAGTGGATAGTTCTAACATGTGGAGGTCAACATCTACCGTGCAGACTTGTGGAAAGTGAAAGAAAGCAAGCTTGTGTTTTAGCAGAGATGGTTGGCTGAGGAAGCAATCTCGGAGCCATCCAAGAGGTAAACTTGACATCCGGTTAGGGATTATGATTATAAAGAGTCTAACAGGGAATGGGAGAAAGGAATTTACAAACTAAGCAATAACAAGGTGCTGGCGCCTTTCACCATCAGATTGATCTTGTGTTGTTGGACTTGAGTTCTCTCCATGACACTCCTCTTTGCTTTCTCTTGGATTCTTTGAAGACTTTTGCAAAGTCAAAGGTCAACTAAGCCAAGTGTGTCTTGACTTGCACATGTGCATACATCGACAATTTGGACAGATAAACACAAAGCACACTCAAGCTGGGGAGCCTTTTGTTTTGCTCTCTTATGCAATCCCCAGGGATACAAAGAGCAAAGCCTTTGGGCCGTCTTTTCCTGGGTAAGCCAAAGACATTCAGTCAAGTGTGCAGTTTGCAGACGTGCTCACATGAATTCACGGTGCCTAACAGTAACCTTACTGGTGAATGTGCAGAAACAGCACACAAACATGGAGGGTCAGGACCCCACTTTCAGGGGGTACCAGGCCTCTACAGAACAAGCTGCTTCACAGCAGTGGGCTGAGGATCAGCAGAGTCAACAGAGCAGCAGGCCTACTGTCCAGTCTACTGCTTGACTTAATCCGCACACAAAGCCCAAAGAGGCTTCCTTTCTGTATCTGATCCATGTTGGATTCCCAGTTGGCACGTAGGCCAGAGGTGACACATTTGATGGTCAAGATACTGGTGAACTTACCAGAAAACACCAGCCAAGACCAGGTGGTTGTAAGTGGAAAGTTTGAAACACTGATAAAGAATTAGCAAAAGAAGTTTCCCGCCATGTTTTATCTTTTTTTGTGACACCATATGTAAGCTATCACAGGGTCAGCCTCTTTGCTAAAATTACATAAGAAGATCCACCCCCTTATTATTCTAAATAAAATTTCCAGTCAACCACAATTTCCTAAATAAATTTCTTTTAAATGCTTTTTTTTTTATCTTTGAGTACTTTTACATACAGTTTCTGAGTCTTTTCATCTGGCCAGGAAATATAAAACAAGATAAAAATGTTTTCAAGAAATTCTGATATAAGGAAAACCCTACAATAAAGGTAATGTCATTTCTGAACAATACAAGGAAGAACGTCCTACAGAATAACCTGGAAATGCTTAAGCATAAATACATAACCTAATCAGAACATAACTCTTTATAGTTTTTAGGAAATGGATAAATATAATAGCTCTGTTAGTTAGATGCCTAGGTACTGTTAGACTGTACTTTTAAGATCAGGTTTAAAACTTTCCTTTTTGATAAAGTTTATAGTTAGAGTAGCTCAGGTTATCCTTGGCTATCTTTTTAGTTACGCTTCTAGAGTCTTATTATGCTGGAGGACATAGAGACCACTTTTTATCATTCTGCTTCATTCTGTCTCTATTCTCCAATTCTGCAGTAACTGTGAGTTTATTTTGAACGTTATCCTCTCTCTGTTTTCTTATCATAATGGTAGAGGTAAATATCAGGTGAGCTGTTACCATCAAAACCTTCACTCACAAATGATAGAATTAGGGAGGTTTTTAGTGCTTAGTCAAGTCTCTCTTCAAGACCTTAAAAATGTTTTCATCTGCCTTTTTTTGGACTAAAAAGAAAGAGCACAATTCAAATCAACTCACTAAATTTAATAAATTCCTCAATTGTTTGAGTTGGTTTTTTGAAGAGCTGTTTACACTGCCGGCTAGAGTCCCAATTCTCTCTCAGTCTTTCCAGATGGCATTTACCATTGCTAATGCTAGCTGAGATGATGGAGTACAACTTGCCTGATTTAGACACAAAGCTTGTTTCAAATACAGATCTATGGTTTGCACTGTTTTACTACCTCTATTCCCTATTTATTACAG